CCCAATTAAAATGGATCAGAGACTTAGGAATTAGATCAAAAACCTTGCAGCTGCTAGAAGAAAACACAGGGTCAAAAATCCATCATATTAGTTGGGCACAGTGGCACATACCTGTAATCCCAGCAGCTCAGGAGGCTAAGGCAAGAGAGTTGCAAGTTCAAAGCCAGCCCCAGCTACTTAATGAAGCCTGAAGCATTTCAGCAAGACCCTGTCTATAAATAAAATGTTAAAAGGGCTGGGGCTGGGGATGTGACTCAGTGGTTAAGCACCCCTGGGTTCAATCCCTGGTAGCAAAAAAAAAAAAAAAGAAGAAGAAGAAAAAGAAAAAAATCATATTGGTATAGGCACTGACTTCCTTAAAAAGACCCCTACAGCTCAATAAATAAAAATAGGAATCAATAAATGAGATGACATAAAATTAAAAAGCAAAGAAAATGATTTAAAAGTGTGAAGAGAAAGCCTATAGGAGAAAATCTTTGCCAGCTACTCATCTGAGGAATACTATCCAGAATATATATAAAGAACTCAAAAATCTTAACACCAAAAAAAAAACCCAGAAAAACAAAAAGCAAATAACCCAATCAATAAATGGGCAAAAAAATGAAAGAGACATTTCTCTAAAGAAGAACTACAAATGGTCAATGAATATATCAAAAAAAATTCAACATCCCTAGGAATCAGGAAAATGCAAATCAAAACTTCTTTGTGACTTTAACACACCTCTTTCACCACTGGATAGATCTTCCAAACAAAAACTAAACAAAGAAACTACAGAGCTAACTAATACAATCAACTATTTAGACTTAACAGACACAGAGTATTTTATCAATCATCAAGCAAATATACCTTCTTCTCAGTAGCACATGGATCCTTCTCTAAAATAGACCATATGTTATGCCACAAATACAAAAAAATAGAGATACTACCCTGAATTCTATCAGATCTTAATGGAATGAAATTAGAAATCAATGAGAAAATTAAAAATAGAAGCTACTCCATCACATGAAGACTAAATAATATGCTACTGAATGAACAATGGGTAGCAAAAGACATCAGTGAGGAGATTAAAAAATTATTAGAGAACATATCAAAATACATAAATACAACATATCAAAATCTCTGGGACACTATTAAGGCAATACTAAGAGGAAAGTTCATTGCATTTAGCTCATTCATAAAAAGAATAAAAAGTCAACAAATAAATGACCTAACATTACATCTCAAAGTCCTAGAAAAGGACGAACAAATCAACTCCAAAAGCAGAAGACAGGAAATAATTAAAATCAGAGCTGAAATCAATGAAATTGAAACAAAAGAAACAATTGAAAAAACTGAGAACAAAAAGTTGCTTCTTTGAAAAAAATAAATAAAATTGATAAACCCTTAGCCATGCTAATGAAGAGGAGAGAGAAAACTCAAATTACTAATATTTGTGATGATAAAGGAAATATCACGACAGATACTATTGGAATACAGAAGATAATTAGAAACTAGTTTGAAAATTTATACTGCAATAAATCTCTAAGACATCAACAAATTTCTAGAGACATATGATCTGCCCAAACTGAATCAGGAAGACATAGAAAATTTAAACAGATCAATTTCAAGCAATGAAATTGAAGACACCATCAAAAGCCTACCAACCAAGAAAAGCCCAAGACCATATGGATTCTCAGATGAGTTCTGCAAGACCTTCAAAGAAGAATTAAAAACAATACTTCTCAAAGTATTCCATGAAATAGAAAACAGGGAACCCTTCCAAACTCATTCTATGAGGCTAGTATCACCCTGATAACAAAACCAGACAAAGACACATCAAGGAAAGAAAACTTCAGACCAATATCCCTGGTGAACATAGACACAAAAAATTCTCAATATAATTCTGGAAAATTTAATACAAAAACATATTTAAAAGATAGTGTGCCATGATCAAGTGGGGTTCATCGCAGGGATGCAAAGTTGGTTCAACATACAGAAATCAATAAACATAATACATCATATGAATAGACTTAAAGCCAAGAATCATATGATTATCTCAATAGATGCAGAAAAAGCATTTCACAAAATACAACATCTCTTCATGTTCAAAACAATTTAAAAACTAGGGATAGTAGGAACATACCTCAACATTGCAAAAGCTATCTATGCTAAGCCCAAGGCCATCATCATTCTAAATGGAGAAAAAATGAAAGAATTCCCTCTAAAAATTCCCTCTTTCACCACTTCTATTTGAAACTCTAGCCAGAGTGATTAGAAAGACAAAAGAAATTAAAGAGATACAAATAGGAAAAGAAGAATTAAAACTACCACTATTTGCCAATGACATGATACTATAATTAGAAGATCAAAAAAATTCCTCTAGAAAACTTCTAGAACTAATAAATGAATTCAGAAAAATAGCGTGATGTAAAATCAACACCTATAAATCAAATGCATTTCTATAAATAAGTGATGAGTCCACTGCAAGAGAAATTAGGAAAACTACCCCATTCAAAATAACCTCAAAAAAAAAAAAAGAAAGAAGGAAAGAAATACTTGGGAATCAATCTAACAAAAAAGGTGAAATATCTCTACAATGAAAACTACAGAACACTAAAGAAAGAAACTAAAAAGACCTTAGAAATGAAAACATCTCCCATATTCTTTGATAGGCAGAATTGATATTGCCAAAATGGCCAAACTACCAAAACTGTTATTCAGATTTAATGCAATTCCAATTAAAATTCCAATGACATTCTTCATAGAACTAGGAAATGCAATCATGAAATTCATGGAAAAATAAGAGACCCAGAATAGCCAAAGCAATCCTTAGTAAAAGAGTGATACAGGAGGCATCCAATACCAGACCTTAAACTATACTACAGAGCAATAGTAATAAATACAGTATGGTATTGGCATCAAAATAAATATGTAGACCAATGATACAAAATAGAAGACACAGAGATAAACCCATATAAATACAGTTATCTCATAGTAGACAAAGGCACCAAAATCATACATTGGAGAAAAGATAGCCTATTCAACAAATGGTGCTGGGAAAACTGGAAATTCATATGTAGCAAAATTAAATTAATCCTCTCTCTCTCTCTCTCTCTCACCCTGCACTCAACTCAAAGTGGATCAAAGACTTAGGCACTAAAACAGAGACCTTACACTTAATAGAACAAAAAGTAGGCCCAAATCTTCATCATGCTGGCTTAGGACCTGACTTCCTTTACAAGACTCCTAAAGAGCAAGAAGTAAAATTAAGAATCAATAAATGGAATTGATTCAAATTAAAAAGCTTCTTCTCAGCAAAGGAAACAATCAATAACGTGAAGAGAAAGCCTACAGGATGGGAAATTTTTACCACATGCACATCAGATAGAGCACTAATCTCCAAGATATATAAAGAACTCAAAAATCTTAACTCCAAAAGAACAAATAACCCAATCAATAAATGGGCTAAGGAACTGAACAGACACTTCACAGAAGAAGAAATACAACTGATCAACAAACATATGGCAAAATGTTCATCATATCCAGCAATTAGAGAGATTCAAATCAAAACTACTCTAAGATTTCATCTCACTCTAGTTGGAATAGCAATCATAAAGAATACAAGCAATAATAAATGTTGGCGAGGATGTGGGGAAAAAGGTTCACTCATACTTGCTCATGAGACTACAAATTGGTGCACACCACTTAGGAAAGCAGTATGGAGATTCCCCAGAAAATTTGGAATGGAACCACTATTTGACACAGCTATCCCACTCCTCGGTTTATATCCAAAGAACTTAAATTCAGCATACTACAGTGATGCAGCCACATCAATGTTTATACCAGCCCAATTCACAATAGCTAAACTATGGAACCAACCTAGATGCCCTTCAACAGATGAATGGATAAAGAAAATGTGGCACATATACTAATGGAATAATAGTTAGCCTTAAAGAAAAATGAAATTATGGCATTTGCCGGTAAATGGATGGAACGAGAGAACACCATGCTAAGTGAAATAAGCCAATCCCCCCAAACCAAAGGCCAAATGTTTCATCTGATAACACTCTGTGCTATGTTAAGCAGATGCTGATCCATAGTTGGGGGGTGGGCTTAGGAAAGAATGAAGGAACTTTACTTTGAATCTTGCAGAGGGGAGTGAGGGCAGGGGTGGGGCTAAGGGGATGGGAAGTATGGTAGGATTAGACAGACATTATTACCCTATATACATGTTTGATGACAGTACTGGTATGACTCTGCACCATGTACAGCCAGAGGAATGAGAAATTGTGCTCCATTTGTGTACACTGTCATGTTTAACTAATTACAACAAATTTTAAAAAATGGAAGGGAGGACCAGTAGAATAGAAGAAGAGGATAAGGGGGAAGAAGAGTATGTAAAAAAAAAAATCCTTATCATGCCTGCAAGGGACCATACACTGCAGCTTCTGCCACTTCTCCAACTTTATGTTAAGCAACTCTCTTCCTTGTTTAAATATTCCATAGGTCCTCAGAGAGGCCAAATTGTTTCCCAATGTGAAAACTTATATTTATTCCACCCAAAGAAGCTTTTTATCCCAGTCTTGGCTTGGACTTATTCTTCAGGTCTAGGCTTAAATATCGTTTTCTCAGAGAGGTCTATCATGATCCCTCAATTTAATTTAGGATTCTCTTTATTCTAATAGCACCACTAACTTTTTTTCCTTCATAGCACTTCCTTACAATTTTTACCCTTATATTTGTATGATCATTTGTTTGCTGTCAGTATTTCCTGCTAGAGTGTTGGCTCCATGAAAACAACATTGTAACCCAATGCTTTTTCATTCCATAGGCCATCACTGTTAAATGAGTGAATTTTCACAAGGACCTTGATCTATCCTGATACACTTATTAGAAGATTTGTCCACCACTATTCCTTTGAGAGTAATAGCCAAAAATAATAATAGAAATAAGATTAGTTGTAGGGTGGGCAGTTCTTTGTATCAAATGTTTTCTGGTTAACTTAAAAACATACTTCTCACCTGATCATTTTTTTGTTTTTCCTGTATCTTAAGCCTCTCCAGCACAGAGTGTAGATGACTCTGGAAAACAAAATTGTATGAATGATTACTGCTGAGTCTCAAAGGAAAAGAGAACCAAGGGAAACACTTCGTTAAATGATTTGATAAGAAAACTGTCAGTTATATAAAATACACTCCTTTTCAAGAAATTAGTGTGTAAAAACTACTCCCTAACTATGTGCTATCCTCTTTGATTTTATACACTCTACACAACAGGCTTTTTCTAGTTTAGCATAAATCATTTGGCAATGGGGACCTATTAAAGAAGCTGTCTTGGATTCTGGTGCTAATTTCTCCTCCACTTCTGATTCCTACTCAATTTCCACTCACTACAGCAGAATATTGCTAATCTTAACTAATAGCACTCGTAGTAACAATAACCATAATAATACCACATACCTATATTTTTTGGAACATGTTCATAGCTATTATCTTTGGCTATTCTAAAAGAAAACTCCCAGAGTGGGTACAGTTTGTGTAAAGTTGCTCCCCTTCTATGACTACTGTTCTACAGGGAATGAAATCTTGTAAATAATTATCCAGATGCTTCAGAATTTCTCTCACTATCATGAGGGAAGCAAATGTTGCCTAAACACACATTTTCCTTTTGTTGATGCTCTTAAACATGTAATAATAAAAATAAGGCAACATATTTGTTCTTATTTAAGCATGCATCAGAAAAATTTAAAGATGAATTTAGCTAATTCTTTTCACTGAAATGAGTACATTTTGATACAAATAACAGGGTTAAATCTATGCTCTACCATTTATTGTGATTCTTAGTTACTTAAACCTCTTTGAGGTTCAATTCTTTAATTATAAAATGGGAATGATGAATGTATCTGTTTCAGAGCTTTGAAGATGAAATGAGATGATACAAAGCTCTTTATGTAAAAAAAAATAAAAGCTCTTTATGTGCTAATTGCATAGTAAATGCTCAATACTGGCATTTCTTTTGTCAAGTCACCTGTTACCCTCTATGAAATGCTTACATTAGATGACCAAAATTATGTAAGTAAAATGAAACAGGGCTTTTATTGGAGGTTTCTAAGAGGTTTTTTATGTTCATGAATGAATAAAAATACTGTATAAATATATGTGTGGAAATACAAAGATAGAGATTTTGAAAGTAAGATATCAGGATTTCTTTATACCAGCCATCAATAACTTACCTTGAGAGTCAGGTTTTCCACTTTTCTGATGAGATCCTTTTGTCTTTGTGCTTTGCTCTGAATCAGCTGGAGCTTTTTCTCCTTGTAATGAATGTGCTTCTGAATCTCCACAACTAACCGAAGTAGAGAGAGACTTTATATGTTTGAATGTAGCCTAAACTAATAGACTGAGATTCAAGTAAAGTAAAACCACTAGATATCTAAGCAAGGACTCTCAAATTTGGTCTTCCATCTGTTGTGTATTTAGCCTTAGGCTTTAGCACTGCCACTCATCTCTATCCCATCCCTTGTCTTTTCCTCTAACTTACCTATTGAATTGACACTTTCCTTTGTCTCATACTGGCTACATTCAAAAATTTTGGCCTGTAGCTCCCTTTCTAGAGCCTCTTCAGAATCATCTTCCTCGACCTCTTCCTCTTCCTCCTCCTCATCTTCATCTTCATCATCTTCATCATCATCTTCCTCCTCTTCCTCCTCTTCCTCCTCCTCCTCATCTTCCTCATCATCATCCTCATCCTCGTCATCATGATTATTACTGCTGGAATCACTGAACATCTCTGGAAGCATATCATATTCTATTGGTTTTAAACAAAAGGAGAATGAAAATTCTGAAGCTTTGCAAATGACTCCCACTCCAGATACAATTAAACTCCTTACCCTCAAATCCACTGGGCAATCAGTGGATTTTATAAATGTATTTTTTTTCCTTGCAGGAAGATTATTCCCTTCATGAAACAAGGAGAGGAAATACAAACACTAACATTCATTCATGTATTCCATGACCAAGACATTTAGAGAATCTAAGGGTCCATAGGAAGTTGAATACCAGGGATGGATGGGAGGTAGAATTCTAATCTAGAACACTTAAGGCACTGGAGAACCAATAAAAGGGAAGAAGGACAAAGGTATCCTTTTTCTATGACTGGCCTGTGAATCTCTGAATAATGATCTGGCATACAGTTAATGCCTGCACCTATCTGAAGCTCCCACTCTGTCTTTACTAAAATACCTGAGATATGGCCCTGCTTGTAGCCACTCATTCCTGGGGATATTGGAAAGCCTGGAATGCAGCCTTGACTTTCTATTTCCTTGGTTTCATCATCAGCAATGACTTCCCATCCTGAAAGGAAGAGGCAGTCAAGGGAAAAACAAAGGGAAGGGAGAAGGCACTGTTGAAATGGAAGAAGCTCTTTGTTAAAAGTGCTATTTAATTTTGTCCAACTTTAAGTCATTTGTATCTGTATTCCTAGTGTGGAGATGTGGCTTATATTAAATTACACAATAAATAAATTTCTATTACATGTATTTACTGTTCCTAGTTATTAAGTAACATTTCTCAAAAATCTCAAGTACTGTATATATACTTCAAAACTGGTTCACAAATACTGGAAGTGATATTTGTTAGCACATGCACATGGGGTGGAATAAACTATACAGAAAATATTTGGTACAAAGGATACGGGCACTGACAGCTTCAGCATCTGAACACAGCAGTCTCTTCACTTCTTTCTCCACATCTGGAGAGTCAATGTACTGAAGCAAAGTACAGGAGGGAATACCAGTGGCTTCATTTGACAAGCTATGCTTTGCAGGATTGCTTTTTTCCTATATACCAAGGAATTCAAATGATTAGTGCTCATCACACGCTCATCCTAGATGCTCAAAGTTCTATTTTATTCATTTTTATTTTAAATATATATATATATATATATATATATATATATATATATATATATATTTTAGTTGTAGCTACAATACCTTTATTTATTTATTTTTATGCAGTGCTGAGGATCAAGCCCGATGCCTAACACATGAGAGGCAAGCACTCTACCACTGAGCCACGACCCCAGCCCTTCAATGTTCTATTTTAAATAGTGATATTTATCACGAATTGGTGTGAATATACTATGTATACAACCAGAGATATGACAAATTGTGCTTTATATGTGTAATAAGAATTGTAATGCATTCTGCTATCATATATAAATAAAAAATAAATAAATTTTAAAAATAGTGTGATATTTATGAAAGAATCTTTAGCCAGGGTTTATATTTTTGTAAAATAAGCTTATTATTCCCAATTAAACAAATTATTTGAGACATTTAAACTTTTCAGCCTGCAATTCTATAGTAAAGACCTCCTTCAGAGGTACAATCCTTAGGCTCAGTTATTACTTATTTGCCCTGATTCTTACTGGCAAAGAACTATAATACCTATTAGTTATTTAGAAATAATTTGGTTTAAAGATCCAAATTCCTAGATTTCACCTCCCTGTATCTTTATTATTAGAGATGTTCCTACAAAAACTTAATCCTAACTACATGTTCTCCCTTTAATCCAGCTTTAGACAATTATCTCCACAGCAACCAATTTGTCATGCCACAAATAGAAATCAAGAGGAAATAAGCAATTAATTGTAAATAAATGTTGGTAAGGGTGAATCCTGGCTTCCAAGGAGTGGCTTTTGAAATAAAATCAGATAAAAATCAGACTGGAATATACAGGGCCACTGGCCACACTGTATCTTTTCATTTAGGAATTACTGGACATTCAACAATGAATTCATTATTCAGGAAATCAAATCTAGTATATGTATATGGGGAGTGGGTGTTAAAAGTGAGAAGGAAGGCTCAGAAGTAACCTTTATAATTTATATTATTTGTTTGGAACTAGTGAGCTATTTAAACACATTAAAAGTAAATGATGATGTTACATTATGATTTTTCTACCTCAGTAAAGGTGATTTCTTCAATTTGCTTGAAATCAGCAGTCTATGAAATAAAACATAATAAACAGTGAAGTTATTTTATGATTGCTCTATTTCAGTAAAGCTTCAAGAGCACTATAACAATTCTTTTTTTAATATTTTTTTAAGTTTAGTTGGACACAATACCTTTATTTTATTTATTTATTTTTATGTGGTGCAGAGGATTGAACCCAGCACCTCGCACATGCTACGCAAGTGCTCTAATGCTGAGCCACAACCTCAGCCCCATACAACTATTCTGAACTTAGTTTTACATTTAGTAGGCCCTCAATAAATGCTGCTGACTAACAAGAGTATAAAGCCCAGGCAACACATGGATTGAAAAACTCAAGAGTAAAGATATCAGTTCTCCCCAAACTGATCTATAAGTTTAATGCAATTCTGATCAAAGCAAGGCTTTTTGTAGATACAAACAAGCTTATTCTTAAATTTATACAGAAATGTATAGGCTCTAGAATGGTTTAAACCATCTTGACAAAGAAAAATGAAGTGAGAAGTTTTCTGATTTTTAAAACATTGCTTTGAGATGTGCTGGAGAGATTGACACATGGATCAGTTGAATAGAATAAAGAACCCAGAAATAAACACTCACAAATACGTCCAACTGATTTTTGGCAAAGGTGTGAAGGAAATAATACAATAAAGGAAGAATAATAAATGGTGCTGGATCAATTGAACATTCTTAAGCAAAAAAAAAAAATGAACCTGGAACTAAACCTTATATTTTTACAAAATTAACTAAAAAATGGATTGGAGATTTAAGTATAAAATGTAAAACTCTTAGAAAAGAAAAAGGAGAAAGTATTTGGGATCTGGGCTAAGAAAGACTCCTTAGATTTAACACAAAATGCAAGATCCCTTAAAGAAAATGAATTTAATAAATTAGACCTCATCAAAACTAAAACTTTTGCCCTTCAAAAGATCCTGTAAAGAGGATGAAAAGACGAAGCTACAGTCTAGGAGAAGATACTGGCAAACTACACATATGATCAAAGACTTGTATTCAGTATATAAGGAAAACTCTTCAAACACAACAATAAAGTCATTTCAGAAAATGAGCATAAGGCATGAACAGATGCTTTACTAAAATGTATATATCTGTGCAAAATGAACACATGAGATGTTCAATATTGTAGCTATCAGGGAAATACATACAAATTATTATTGCAATGAAATCATTATATACCTATCAGGATGGTTAAATTTTTAAAAATGGTGATATTATGGCTTTTGGGGAACAAAGGCAGAATGTTACGGTTTAGATGTGGTATACCCCCCAAAACCTCATGTGTGAGACAATGCAAGAAGGTTCACAGAGAAATGATTGGGTTGTGAGAGTCTTAATCAAATTAATGAATTAATCCTCAGGGATTAACTAAGTGGGAACTGAAGTGGTAAGGTGTGGCTGGAGGAGGTGGGAATTGGGGGTGTGGCTTTAGGTATATATTTGGATCTAGTGAGTGGAGTCTCTCTGCTTTCTGATCACCATGTGAGCTGCTTTCCTCTGCCACACTCTTCCTCCATGATGTCCTGCCTTACCTGGAGCTCTGAGGAATGGAGCTGGCCTTCTATGGACTAAGACCTCTGAAACTGTGAGCCCCCAAATAAACCTTTCCTCCTCTACAATTGTTCTGGTCAGGTCTTTTAATCACAGCAGTGGAAAAGCTGGCTAAAACAGAAATTGGTACTGAGAGTAGGATTTGTTGCTGTGATTAGCCTGACCATGTCGTTTTTGATCTTTTGGGAATTGGTGAGAGGAATTTTGAGATGTGTGGCAGTGCAGGCTGGAAATGCTTTAGATTGTTGTAAGTGGAGTTTATAGGGCTATTATAGGGGAGCTCAGAAGACCAGAATGCCAATAGGATCGTGGTCAGTGAAGACAGGGCTCAAGAGGGTTCAGAAAAGGAGAACTCTATTGGAATTTGAAGTAGAGGCCATTCATACCATTCATGTTATGTTCTGGCTGAGAAGTTGTCTACATTTTGCCACTGTCCTGAGACTTTCTGTGGAGATGATTTTTAAAGCAATGGACTTACTTTTTTAAATGTTTTTTTAGTTGTTAGTGGACCTTTATTTTTTATTTATGTGTGGTGCTGAGACTCAAACCCAGTGCCTCAAACATGCTAGGCAAGCACTCTGCCAACTGAGCCACAACCTCAGCCCCCAAGCAATAGACTTTTTAATCTGGTAGAAGAAATGTCTAGGTAACATAGCATTCAGATGTCGGCATAGATATTGCTGGCAAATTTTAGCCAAATTTATTATGATATTCAGGAGCAGAAAGCAGAGCAGAAATATTTGAAAAACTTGAACTTGAAAGGCAGTAGTAAAACTGGAGCTAAGAAAGTTGCAGTTGTTAAAGACATTACTGACACTAAAGAAATGCTAAGGACTTTGCCTAGAGACTATTAGAAAGATGGCTTAAGGGCATCTCAGGAGCTGGCAAGACCACACCTCTCTCAGGCTCAAGGGAGTAAAAGTGAAAATTCTCTTGAGAAGAGACCAGTGAGGAATCCTTCTGTACAAGGGGACCTGGAAAGCTTTTTTAATATGCTCAGCCACCCAGACACTGAGAGGCTGCTGAAGCTAGGGTCCATGGAGGCTTGGTACTGCTCAAGATGGCAGCAGACCTTGGCATCAACCACATGGTGCTGGTTCTGCAGGAATGCAGGATGCTGGAGTTAGGGGGTCATGGAGGCTTCCACCAAGATTTCAAAGGAAGGCCTTGGAAGCCAGGCAAAGTGCAGTAGGGTCTGAGTCCCTGCAAGCACTCTCTGAGAAAGCAAGGTATGGAGATTTGAGGAGGAAGCCAAAGCTGCCGTGGAGACCCCTGAGATTAAGAAATGCCAGTGACATGGGATACTGTCCTAGGAAAGCCGCAGGAATTGAGCAGAGACAAGCCAAAGAAAAGCCACTTGCACTGTAACCAACATGGCCACAAGGGTGGAGTTATAAAAGCCTTTTGGAGAGAACATCACAATGCCATGTGCCCCAGATGCTGGACATAGAGCTACAGGACTTGTATGCCCAACTGGATTTCCATCTTCCCTTAGTCCTATCCCTTCTTTCTATGTCCCTAATTTGGAAATGGAAATGTTTACTCTGTACCATTATATACTGGGTACTTGTAAATCGCTTTTAATTTTACAGGAGCTCACAATGTGAGTTGTCTTGAGCCTCAGAAAAGACTTTGGACTTGAACATTGAGCAATCTCTGAACTACTGAGACTATGGGGACTCTTGGGAATGGACTAAATGTATTTTGCATCATCAAATAAGTATGAGCCTTTGGGGGCTTGGGACGGAATGTTATGGTTTAGATGTGGTATCCCCCAAAAGCTCATATGTGAGACAATGCAAGAAGGTTCACAGGAGAAATGACAGGGTTGTGAGAGTCTTGACCCAATTAGGGAATTAATCCCCTGATAGGGATTAACTAAATAAGTAGTAACTAAAGTGGTAGGGTACGGCTAGAGGAGGGGGAAATTGGGCATGTGGCTTTAAGGTATATATTTGGATCTGGTGAGTGGAGTGTCTCTCTGCTTCCTGATCACTATGTGAGCTGCTTCTCTCTGACACACTCCTCCTCCATGATGTTCTGACTTACCTTGAGCCCTGAGAAATGGAGTCAGCCTTCTATGGACTAAGACCTCTGAAACTGTGAGTCCCAAATAAACCTTTCCTCCTCTGCAACTGTTCTGGTCAGGTCTTTTAATCACAGCAGTGAAAAAGCTGACTAAAAGATGACAACACCTAATGTTGATGAAGAGGTAGATAATCTGAATCACATTATTGGGGTGGAAATATAAAATGGTACCTTCCTCTGAAAAAAGCATGGCAGTTCCTTATGAAACTAAATATGTACCTGCCATACAACCTAATAATTATACTCCTGGGCATTTATCCCAGAGAATTGAAGATTTATATTCACTCAAAAAACCTGTTCACAGTTTTGCTTAAAATGGTCAAAAACTAGAAACAACCCAGATGTCCAGTTAAACACATTGGTACATTCATATTAATGAATACTACTCAGCCATAAAAAGGAACAAACTATTGATGCATGCAAAAGCTTACAGCATAAGGGCATTATGCTGAGTAGGGAAAAAGCTACTCTCAGATATTATATAGTGTATGTTTCCACATAGATGATATCCTAAAAATTACAGAGATGAAAAACCAGGAGTGTAAGGTAGAAGGGAGGTGGGTATGATTATATGAGGGCAAGTTAAGAGATCCTTGAGGTGATGGAAGTGTAGTATTCTAACAATGTAGGTGAGTACATAAACCTTCACATGGGATAAAACTGCATAAAACTAAATACATGCACCAAACACATGACTACAAGTAACATGGGATTTGAATAAGACTGGTGAACTGTAATAATGTTAGTTTCCTGTTTATAATCATTATATTACACATTTGAAAAAATGATATAATGGGGGAAACTGGGAAAGGGGCATATAGTAGCTCTCTTTTATTTCTTAAAATTATATGTGAATCTAAAATTATTTCAAAATAAAAAGTTCAATTGAACAAAAGAAGTCAAACCACAGTACTCCTGTAGCTTACCAAAGTTTCTGCAAGCCTGAAGTAAGGTAAAGAATATGACCACAATTCCCAAATCTCAGGTTCTATATGGGTTCATTTTAAAACTATATCTTGAGGGCTGGGGTTGTGGCTCAGTGGTAGAGCACTCATCTAGCATGTGTGCACCCTGGGTTCAATCCTCAGCACAACATAAAAATAAGTAAATAAAATAAAGGTATTATGTCCAACTACAACTAAAAATAAATATTTTAAAAAACCTATATCTTGAAATCCAAAAATAAAAACATGAGTTTCAAATTCATGGTCTTTTCCAGACCCCTAACAACTAGCCTTAAAAACAGGTCTATTTTTATTCACTGCTATATTCCCAATGTCTAACACACAGTGTCAAGCATTTAGCCCACTTTCAAATGTTTAATGAACATAAATGAATGAGCAAATTAATTTTTAACTGACTTTCTTCCTTTTCTTCCTGCTCATTATCCTCTTCTCATCCACCCAGCAGACACACAAATAGCATGAGACTCACCTTTTTTTTTGTTTTCCGGAATCTTTTCTTTCTGACATTCTTAAGTGGTGGAGTAACTAAAATAAATACAACACGGTGAAACATACTTATAACTGAAGGTATTTACATGTCTATCAGAATTTGATAGAGGGATCATACTATAAACTACTGGTTCATGACATGCCTTCCTTTAAGAGTGTTTGTGAGTCTAATAAACCAGGAAAGAGGTCCCTGATTCAGCAGATAAATACAGTCAGCCAGAATGAGCAAGGGGCAGGTGACTTACTTCCATGCTTCCAGATATATTTTTTTTCTGTTTCCCTTTCGTTATTCCCTGTTATACTGACATCAGTAGAGGTAACTGGTTCTTCCGGAGAAGAGTGAAGATCGCCATCAGCACTGCACACAAGCATCTACATGCAAAGATAAAACATAAAAATAAATAAATAAAATAAAGGTATTGTGTCCAACTACACAATACCTTTTAGTAGCAAAGATAAAAAGTTGGCTATAGCCACAAATCTTGGGTTAGTAATGAATCATGAACATTCTTACCACCATATATCCTGGAGCACAGAGGAGACTGATACTTGGTATTTCCAGAAAACCTAGTATTATGTAATAAACATTCATATTCTCTCTCTTGCTTTCAAATTCTTTCTCCCTCTCTCATTCTTATTCTTTCTCTCTCTCCCCTCTCTCTCCTCTCTCCAACAGCATTGTATATAGACTGTGAACTTTAAAAAAAAAAAAACTGGAGTGTTTACCATTGCAGAGAGAATATGTTAAAAATGCATACATCTTAGCATTTTGATCTAGAAAAGAAATTAGAAAGCAATAATAGAGATGATGAATAAGAACCAATTTAAAGCTCCAGAGTTAACATACTACTTTATGTTAAAGTTCAGAAGATTCCAGCTGTTCGTATTTTTTAAATTTTTTTAGTTGTCAATGAACCTTTATTTTATTTATTGATATGTGGTGCTGAGAATTGAACCCAGTGCCTCACACATGCTAGGCAAGCACTCTGCCATTGAGCCACAACCCCAGCCCTGTATCTTTTAATTAATAAAAGTCGCTATAAATGGCAAGTAGGTGATTATAAAAGATATTTGAATGAAATAAGGTAGGAAAATTTCAAGATAAAACACTAAATCAGAAGTTAATATTTTTTTCCTGTGCAATTTATCTGGAAATCAGAAATGGCAAGTAATCTTTCACCAAATAGAAAGGAGTAATGGGAGAAAACAAAAGGGATTCTTAAAGGATGTGAGGGCTAGAATACTAAGACAATTAGTTCATACCTGGGAAATATCTGCAGTTTTGTAAAAGGTTTTTTTATCAAGAGTTTTCAGGCTTCCAATGACACAAGGCAAATCAACCAGCTTAGCAGATAGTGAGACATCTTCTACCTCAACAACTGCGTGACGTCTATCAGCTAAAGAGAAGAAGAGAAGATTAAAGTTGACATTTTCCTGATGAATTCCTAAGCCTCCTAGGTTTTAAATAATGAAGACTTATGTGGGACTGATTAGTTTTTCAGTGAAACCTACTATTTCTCAAAATGTTAGAACTATGTACACAATTGGTAAATTCTGAGAGAAAAGAAGGGAGAGTACATGGAGTTCATTATCCCAGCATATGTCACTCATTCAAAAGTAGCTAAGTTTCTTAGTAATGATTGTGAACTAAATTTGGTTGAAGGAGAAAATTTATCATTTTCATCCAGAAAGGCAAATTCAATTAATTTAAATAAATTCCTTATTTTATTTATTTTTAATTTTTTTTCATGGATCACTTTCTTTTTATAGAGAGGATAGAATATCACATATATTCTTTTTAGCATTCCTCTTTTAACTTTAACAGTGTATTCTGGAAGGCATACCATATCAGTTCATTGAAATCTTGATCATTCTTTTTTTAATAGATGCATAGTACTCCTTGTGTATTTATCATAGTTTATATAATCACTCACTTAATCTCTCTCCCATATATCTACATTTATTTCAAAACTTTACAATTACAAAGCATTTTATAATGAATAACCTCCTGCATACATATTTTTGTTTTATTGATGAAAGTATGTCTTCGGGGTACAGGCCCACAAAGTCACTTGTTGGACTGAAAGGTAAATGTACCTGTAATTTTATTAGGTATTGCCACATTTCCCAACAGAAGAGTTAAACAATTTGCATTCCCACCAGTAATGTATGGAAAGTGCCTGTTTCTACACAACTTTGACAACAGATACATTCTTTATTTAAAAAAAAAATTTAGTTGTTGTAGATGGACACAATATCATTATTTTATTTATTTTTATGTGGTGCTGAAGATCAAATCCAGTGCCTCACACATGTGAGGCAAGTGCTGTACCACTAAACTGCAGCCCCAGTCCCACATTCCTTATTTTTTAAGAGACATTCAATAATGTCATCATATATGTGTTTTCAAAGGATTGGATGAAGAAAGAGCGTGATCTTACATTGATGCTACATATCAAGTTAAAATCTCTAGCTGGGAGCGGCTGGGGTTGTGGCTCAGTGGTAGAGTACTTGTGTGAGGTACTGGGTTCGATCCTCAGCACCACATAAAAATAAATAGAAATTTTAAAAAAAATTCTAGTTTGCTTCACAATGATAAAACTCTATACTTCAGAAATGTTCTGAACTCTAAGTCATGCTCAAATGTCTCAAATATGAATAAAAGAGGATTTTGGTATAATTTTCTAATATTAAGTGAAAACAGAAGATGCAGAACCATGTTTAACAAAATCTTTTTGTGTGAATTAACTTAAAATACGGAGAGATAATTTATAGTATTATATATAAAACTTTCTCTGTAAGAAAACACAAGAAGAAAGAATTAATACTGGCTATCTTTGGTATCAAGGTTGGGACACTGAAGCAGGCAAGCTTCATTTTTCCTTTTAAATTTATCTGTTTTAAGTTTTCTAACCATGAACTTGTATCATCTTTTATTTTTAAAGTGAAAATAGAGTTAATAAAGTTAAATAGAGTTAAGTGATTAGTGGGATTATGGGCCACATTTTATTTTCTTCTTTATACACTTTTCTGTATTTTAAGAAAGCTAACAAAAATCAATCAATCAATCAATCAATCTATCTATCTATCTATCTATCTATCTATCTATCTATCAGTACTGAGGATTGAACTCAGGGGCACTTAAATACTAAGCCACATTCCCAGCCCTTTTATTTTTTATTGTAAGACAAGGCCTTGATAAGTTGCTTAGGGCCTTGCTAAATTGTTCAGGCTGGCCTTGAATTTGCAATCATCCTGCCTCAGCCTCCCAAACTGCTGGGATTACAGATGTGCACCACCACACCTGGCTAACTGTTTATTTATTTGGTGTGTGTTTTAAGCAGACAAACTCTAGATGAAAGCATTTATTTACTTTTTCTTTGGGCTTTTTTTAGAATTAACATGATTTTTAATTGACAATCATATTACATTTATGGGGTACAATGTGATGCTTTGATATATGTATACAATGTGGAATGATTAAATCAACATAATTAACATAGCTTTGCTTAATATTTTTTGGAGTGATACATTTGAAATTTACTTTTTTGGGGAGGGTACCAGGGATAGAACTCAAGGGCACTCAACCCCTAAGCCTCCACCCCAGCCCTATTTTATATTTTATTTAGAGACAGGGTCTCACTGAGTTGCTTAGTGCCTCGCTTTTGCTGAGGCTGGCTTTGATCTCACAATCCTCCTGTCTCAGCCTCATGAGCTACTGGGATTATAGGCATGTACCACTATGCCCAGCTGAAATTTACTTTCTTGCTAGGCATGGTGGTGTGGCCTATAGTTCTAGCTACTTGGGAGCAGAAGTATTGATTAAATCTAGGAGTATAAGCACCTTGGCAGCATAGCAAGCTCCTATCTCATAAGAAATAAAAAGAAGAGAAATGAAATTAACTTTTTTGTTATTTTGAAATATATATTATTACTGAGTATAGTAACCCTGCTGTGAATGGATCTGAAAACTTATCCCTTCTGTCTAGCCAAAACTTTGAACCTGCTGACCAGCAACTCCCTATTCCCTCTCTCTTCCCCCACCAGTGCTCACCAGTCTCTGGTAATCACCAATCAACTTTCTGGTATGAACTCGATTTTTGAGGTCCTACTATATTTGTTTTTCTGTGCCTGGCTTATTTGACTTAGCACAATGTCTTCAATATTAATCCATGTTGTTCCAAATGACAGAATTTCACTCCTTTTAAAGACTGAATAGTATTCCCATAGAGTGCCAAAATTTTCTTTATCTATTCATTCCTTGATGGACACTTGGTTGATTCAATATCTGAGCTATTATGAATAGTACCACAATAAATATGGGATTACAGCTATCCCTTCAACATACTGATTTCAATTTCAAATTTCAATTTATATTCCCATAAATGGAATTGTGGGATCATACGATAGTTCTAATTTTAGTTTGTTGAGGAACTTTCATACTGATGGCTGTAGTGATTTACATTTCCACTAACAGTGTGCAAGGGTTTCCTTTTCTCTTTTTTTTTTAAAGAGAGAGTGAGAGAGGAGAGAGAGAGAGAGAGAGAGAGAGAGAGAGAGAGAGAGAATTTTTAATATTTATTTTTTAGTTTTTGGAGGACACAACATCTTTGTTTGAATGTGGTTCTGAGGATCGAACCCCAGCCGCTTGAGCCACATCCCCAGCCCGGGTTTCCTCATCAAAACTTATTTTTCTTGCTTTTTTCCATGTTTTATTGATATATTATAGTTGTACATAATGGTGGTGTTTGTTGTTACATATCCATACATACACACAATATAATTTGGCCAATATCTTTCCCCAATATTTACTATGCCCTCCCCTTTTCCCTCCCCCTGGTTCCTTTCCTCTACTCTCTTGATTTTCCTTTGATTTTTATGAGATCCTCCCCTCGCACACCTTTCTTTTACATTTTCCTCTCTAGTTTCCACATATGAAGGAAAACATGTGACCTTTCACCTCCTGAGTGTGGCTTATTTTGCTTAACATAAGATTCTTAAGTTCCATCCATTTCCTGCAGATGACATAATTTCATTTTTCTTTATGGCTAAATAAACCTCAATTGTGTGTGTGTGTGTATATATATATATACCATATTTTCTTTATACATACATCTGCTGATGGATACCCAAGTGGATTCCATGGTTTAGCTATTGTGAATTGTGCTGCTACAAACACGGGTATGCATGCATCGCTGTTGTATGATGATTTTAATACTTTAGGATAAATATGTAGGAGTGGTATAGCTGGATCAAATGGGGGTTCCATTCCTAGTCTTTTGAGGAACTTCCATACTAATTTTCATAGTGGTTGTACTAATTTACAATCTCACCAATGGTGTAAAAGTGTTTCATTTCCTCCATATCTTCTCCAGCATTTTTTATTGTTTCTACTTTTTTTTTTTTTTGTACCGGGGATTGAACTCACGGGTACTTGACCACTGAGCCACATCCCTAGTCCTATTTTGTATTTTATTTAGAGACAGGGTCTCACTGAGTTGGTTAGCACCTTGATATTGCTGAGGCTGGCTTTGAACTGGAGATTCTCCTGTCTCAGCTCCTGAACTGCTGGGATTACAAGCATGCACCTCTGTACTCGGCTATTATTTATATTTTTGATGGCTGACACTCTGTGTGTGGCTCTCTAAACCATGATTCCATCAAGAGAGAGACTATACTCCATTCTTTTTTTAAAAAAAATTTAGTTGTTGATGGACATTTATTTATTTATTTATTTATATGTGGTGCTAAGAATTAAACCCAGTGACTCACACATGCTAGGCAAGTGCTCTACCACTGAGCCACAACATCAGCCCCAGTAAGGGAGTCAAACTCAACACCACAGTGGTGGCTACTTAATCTATTCTTTTTCACATGTTTAGTACCTAGCACAATGCCTGGCACATGGCAACCACTTAATAAATCATTATTCAGTGTATGGTGAATGGATATTAACTACTTACGAGATAAGTCAATTTTTAGTTTATCCTTCATTTTGACACTTCCAGAATGTATTAGGCTCCTGACAGTAGAAGCATGCTCCTACAAAAGAGGTAAATTGAAAAATCACAAGTGTTAATTGTGTATTCAGCATCAAATAGAAAAGATCTATCAAATAGAACCCTCCCTTAAATAAAACCTTACATATCCCAAATGTTTCTAACAATTCCATGTACCAAGAGAGACCATGCATTATATACATTAAATTAGGATAAGGACAACTCCAATTTCATCATTAACTTTTAGTAGCTATAGTTAGTATCTTCTCTCAGCTCTAAATTTCTGCCCCTCTCTACTACCCTTCAGTAGTAGTTGCTAAGGAAAGGCTTTGCTACCATTTACTAGGTATATTAATTAACCCCAACTGGGGAACTATCTTTTTGAGTCCCATCCTTAACACAGCTTCCTAAGCTAAATAATGTTTGAGTATATGTATCAATGGGGGAAGAGATTCAAACACAATGCTTGAGATGAGCTTTGATAGCCTTCCATGGTGATCAATTCTCAGGAGATAAAGTTCTGGTCCTTCTCACTGCCCCTTTTGAAGTGACAAAAACAATTTTAGAAGCCTTATTTTGGCTTTCCAGGAATAGGCTGTTAGTGTTTGTGATAAGTGACTAGATATGTCCCAGTTGTTTTGCCAGGGAATCAACCCATGTGATAGTTGACATGTATGCTGCTAGAAGAATACGTACAAGAATAGGACTGCTTAGTAGAATATGATTCCTAGGAAATATTCTCAGTTTTTATAGCTTGAAATAGAAATGTTACAGAATCCAAGCAGAACTATACTTTTACACCGAAGATATTCTCTCTGAGAGACAAAAATTTCTTACCGGAGGCAGACGCAATATAAACTGGTTCTCAAGTTCATGAGGAGGTTCATCCTGATTTTTACTCATCTCTGTTTTGGGGTTCATGAAAACAAAAGAAAAAAAAATACAAGAGAAAGTCACTAAAAACTCCTCTTACTCCCTCTGCTGACCACTTTTGATAGTACTGGTTAAATTATACACGATCTTGCCCATAATCCTCACTGGAATGATGTGTACAGTTCAGCAACATCTTATTTCACAATCTTGATTATATCTAAAATTCCACCATATCTCCCCTCCAAATATGCAAATTTTCCTAAGTCAATCCAAATTACATGATGTAATCTGATAAACAAATGAACTGAGAGCTGTTATGAAAAATGATTTAGTCTTCTTAATGATATTCTTAGACTCTCCAGTAAGGGAGTCAAACTCAACACCACAGTGGTGGCTACCTAATCAAACTAAATTACCTCTGCATGGAAGAGTATACAAACTAAAGACTAAAATCAACCCAGTAATCACTTGCAGAAGTGTTTAAGGATGTTTTGAAATTAACAAAGTTTAAATTTTCAATATTTCATCCACTCTAATGGACCAATAGGAATTAAGCAATCCATAGGAGAGTAGGCAGATTTTTATGACTCTAGAGGGAGCATCAATAGCACTAAGCTACCTTGGGGGATTTAGGAGTCCAGCTCTCATGGCTAGACTGTCATTATGAGTATACCTAACTTCGTGGAATGGATGCATTTCTGAAGGAGTGATATGAATAGAATAAAATCTCATTCAGTTTATTCATTGTGAACATTTATTGTGTACATTCTATGTGCCTCGTACTATACTGAGTGCTTTAAACCTATTATTTCATTTAATCCTTGAAACCACCACTTGTTTCAAATACCCCTAAAAGCTATTTAAGTCAATCCTAAGAAGGATCCCTTTATTAAAAAAATACACTTTCAGATCTAAATAGAATGAGAAATTTATCTCTGCAATTTTCTTTTTTGTAAAGTGAATATATATATATATATATGGAAATGCAATAAATTATGAAAAATAAATGCTGATATTAAAATCAAAAATACACTTTCAGCAAATAAATAATCTTGTCCAAGTAGATAGGGTTTCTGGACAAATAATAATCATATATAATTATGGAGTACTCAGTGATGTTAGTGATCCATGTATACAATGTAGAATGACTGCATTTAGCTAATTAACATATCATCTTATATACCTATAATTTTTTTGAGATTCATATTTTATTTACAAGTCAATGAAAAATGTCCTCTGTAAACTCTGCTTTGGGATATGAAAAGCAATATAAGCATGTGGTTGCTGGCTGCACAGTGAAGTGTGTGAAAGGATTCTATGCCACTGTTTATTTAAACAATGATTCTGTTATTTAAAACAAAGCAAAAACAAAAACAAAATCCCACATGATTTCTTCATGTTGCATATGTGAAATAATCAAAAATAAAAATGACTTTTCAAAACTCTACAGTCTGTTCAAATGTGTTGGGTGACCAAGATGTCACTTTCATTCAATGACAGTCCCTACTCTCCAAAGCATAGCCTCTGAGCAATTACTTAATACTCATCAAGAGTATCTGCTCTGGGGCTGGGGATGTGGCTCAAGCAGTAGCGCGCTCGCCTGGCATGCGTGTGGCCCGGGTTCGATCCTCAGCACCACATACAAACAAAGATGTTGTGTCCGCCGAGAACTAAAAATAAATAAATATTAAAAAAAAATCCTCTCTCTCTTTAAAAAAAAAAAAAAAAAAAAGAGTATCTGCTCCAGGAATGGACAGATCCTGATCTTTAAGGGCTTGAACTTTCAGCTTCTCTGCTTCTAGCTTAGTCTTCTGTTCAACCCTCTGTTCTTAGATTTCTACAATAGACACTTGCAGGAGAGGTGTATCACTCTCCTTTTCCATGTCCAAATTGAAAGCCTTCAAGATGGAGGCTTTCTTATAAAGCCTCCATCTTGAAGCAGGACCAAGTGCTTTTTGTCAATGTCCTTGATGAGGCTGGCAGTGCCAGGGATATAGTTCATTTTGAGCTAAGATGAGGCTGTAATGTACAGCAGCCACTGCAATTGCAGCCTTGGTGGGACCAGAACAGGAATGTCTTGTCCCAGACCGCTACTTCTGCCTGGCTTTCAGCTGCTGGGGTCTGCCCAAATACTTATAATTTATTCCTCCTTGCTGAGTGCTACTTTCTACACTTTAACTAACATCTCTCCATACCCCCACTAGCCTTTTGTGACTATCACTGTACTCTCTGCTTTTATGAGTTTGATTGATTTAAGGTCCACATATAAGTGAGAATATGTGGTTTTTCTCTTTCTGTACCTGGCTCATTTCACTTACACAATGTTCTCCAGGTTCATCTATGTTGCTTTCAAATGACAAAAATTCCTTTTTAATGCTGAAGAGTATTCCACTGTTATATATACCTCATTTTCATTAATAATTTTATCTGTTGATCAACATCTAGGTTGATTCCATAAATTGGCTATTGTGAATAATGCTACAATGAACATGGGAGTGTGGGTATGTTTCGCATACTAAATTCAAGTCCTTAGAATACATCCCCTGAAGACGGAATACAGGATCTCAAGTTAATAATTATTTATAATCTTTTTCCCATTTATTAGGATGATCTGTAATGGCTTGCACTTTGAGAATTAGGGCCCTTGCTTCTGAGGAAGGCTTTTTCTCAAAGGTGAAAGAAAGCAATTACATACATGAAACCTGACAAAGGCCTCTTATGTTCTAAGGACATTATGCTATGCAGGAAATTATAAGATCTTATATCTTTAGTTGGAATAAAAACTTCAGCTAATGAACTAATATTAATAATATTAATATTAACTAATACTAATAATATTAATATTAACTACTACTACTAATAATAATAGTATTAGCTAGTGAGCTAATACTCTGTAGACCATTAACTGGGATCTGAGTTTTGAATCTGAATCTCACATAAAAGCACTGGAACCTTCTCTTACCACACAGAAGTAGCTCTGGGACACTCTTAGGGTGAAGGAATTTACTAGTTATGATTTAACTCCTTCAGTATAACTTGAGAAACTATCAGAAAGGTATCAAAAGTATGAAGAAGAAAAAGAAAGCACCAAGTGATCAGCAGCTGAAAAGCAGACACACAGGGCGGGAGTGGGTGATACATTATTTGTAATAGTCATTTTTTCTCTTTTTTGCTTAAGAGTGTGTGTGTTTGTGTGTGTGGGGGGGGAGGGAGGGAAAGAAAGGAAAATATAAGGAAAAGTTAATTAAATAAAGTAAATGAAATGATGAATCTTGGAGTTGGGTTCATTGCCTAATGGGAAAAAGTAAAGAATAGTTATGGTTGGGAGCAGAAACACAGATTATTTGAAGAACTAGCTACTAAGGAAGATTTTATCTGGTCTGTAGTAACTTTTAGATTTCTCAGCAGAACTAAGATTAGCACATTTTGTTCATTTTATTGCTTTTCTGACAACTGCTCTTTTTTATGAAAGAAAGAATTTAATAAGTGAAATTATTTAAAAATAGTTCCTGTAAATCACCCAAATAAAAGGTCTGGTGAAGAGAAGATGGAAACCCTGATTGGAATGAGTTTTAATTAATTTTAAATTTGTTACCTTCGTTAACCCAAAGTATTATATGACATTTACTCTAAGAAAGGACATCTACTTTTTCCCAGTAAGAACTGTTTGATGCCTAATTAAATTCACGGGTTCACCCTCCACCATCAGCCCTAGCTCCATCTCACTTTAATAGAATTACAATTCGAATTTAACTAGACGGAGCCTGTTTAGCAGCACCCTCCAGGCAGTGCAAGTCAATGCAAACCTAGGTCAGTATTTTTTTTTTCACATTTATGGCCGTAGGCTACAGTTTGGAGGCTGTAACCACTATCTCTCGGTCCTTATACCTGGAGCACTAAGATTCCAAAGGTAAAGTTCAGCTTACCTTGAAAATCTCCCATAGCCTTCACACCTCACCATCCAGGATTGCTGGAGCGGGCAACACGCCAGAACCCCCTGCCCACTGCCCAACTCACCCACTCCTCTGCCGACTCGCGCTCGTACCGGAAAGGCTGTGCGGGTTGGGACCCGCCTCTCTTGCCAGGTGGGTTCCCGGCAAGCCACGAGAAGGCTCCCGCTGGGGCCGTACGGGCGTCGGAGCGGGAGGCACGCGGAAGAAGCAGCCGACAGGTTGAAGAGCCCCGCTTGCGAAAGGAAAGGCAGGCCGCTTCCCGGAGGCAGCCGGCTCAAGCGTGTGGGGCGGGAATGCTTGAAAGGCGTTAAGCATTGAGAGAAAGCAATGACTTAGGGGCCACGTGGAGCAAGACCGAGGCTTTCAAAACAAGTTACTTTTTACACATAAGGGGAACGTCTGGCTGCCAGAGAATTTTTACCAGTACAAAGTAAAAAGAATGGTGCATTTGACTGCTTCTTGATTCCTTTAGGTTGGACAATTTGTCACTAGGCTAGGTGACCTCATTTGATGACAGATACACCACCATGCAAACTCATTAAATAAAGTCCGCTTCAAACTCCTTTAACATGATAAACCACTCCCTTTTCCTCTTCAAAATCATTCTTTTATCTACATATTTTTATGTACATATTTCTACCACAGTGGGGGTGGGTAGCAGTTTGCTTCTCCCAAAGAAGATACCCAGATTGTGGGGTGAGGGGAGAATTTTAAAAGCCACTTACCTTTGACTTCCTGTGGGTTTTCCAGAGTAGTTTTGTCAGCTGGTGTGGTGCTACTATCGGCATCGGTTTTAGCACCTTGATCGGCAAGAATTTCTGTGCCTTTGTTGCCATCAGTTTCCGCGCTGCACTCGCAAACGATTTCAGCACCATGGTCCACAGAAATCTGGGACTCTTGGTACTTCATTACTTCCAATGTTGGAGCTATTGTTGAATCATTTTCTGAGGAACTGGGGACCTCTCCCTCAGGGCACTCCATGATCCACTTCGTTGGGGGTTGGAATCATAAAATGGCTTCCAGTTTAGTCATGTGACCTGGAGTGTTCCAGAACTTTCATAAAATGATGACAGAGTTATGTTTCTTAAAGACATAGAGATACCACTAAAGACATTTTGATGCTTGTTAAAGATTGAAGCTGTAAATTCTCTACAGCTGACCTCTGATCTAACATAAGTGTAAGGAATATTTTTGTATAATAATTTCTTATAGATATATGATTTTTTTCATTCAGTTATGCTCAACTATTAGAGCTTTAGATCTAGACAAAATAGTTTTGATCCCTTTTAGAACCCATCCACTGATCTTTATTTTGGCATTATACTGTCGGGCTATCAAGAGACCAGTTTTGCATTTAGTATAGAATATGCCCGACTACCTTTAATAATGACTTGAAGGAGAATTCTCTTTTTGATTAATAAAATGGCTTAGTAATTGTTTGGAATCATATAGGTAATATAAATAATGTAATTAACATTCTTTGTGATGGATGCTACGAAGCTCAAAACCAAGTTTGCAACTCTCCTCTAAAAACTATGGGCCTTGTTGGCATCTGTCAACCTTTCCCTTATTTTAAATACTACTTTCTTTAGGAATCCCCTAAAAATTTTATCTTGCACAGTAAATAACAGTGAAAACTGCTCAATTCCCCCTTTTTAAGAATAAGATATAAATGTTATAAAAGGAAAATAGTGCCCTGACAAAAGTGTCTCAGGAAGCATCCCCGTGGGTTAATGAGGACAATACAGTGAGAAACTGTTCCTTAATAAATTCAATCATCCAGAAAATGTTAATTGATAATTTAATGTGCCAGATCTGACTTGAAATACTTATCAAATGCCTAAAATATGGCTTATCATGAGAAGGAGTCAAAATTATCCTTAGGAAATTTACAGTGTAGCTGGTCACAGTGTCACATGTCTTTAATCCCAGCAACTGGGGAGGCTGAGTGAGGCAGATGGCAAGTTCAAAGCCAACCCCAACAACTTACTGAGACTCTGTCTCAAAATAAATAAATAAAAGTGGCTGAGGATATACTTCACTGCTAAAGCACCCTGGGCTCAATTCCTAGTAGAAGAAAAAGAAGGTGGGGGAGAAGAAATCTACAATCTAGTTTGAAATACAGGTATATATGTATGCAATTTTCCACTTATTGCTAGATTTCCAACCACTTCTTAATTAAAAGGGGAATGAGAAGTGGAAGAAAGAATAAGGCAAGAATTATGGTTTCTCTTGGTAGAGGAGAAGTGATCCAAGAAGCAACATGATGTACAGATTTTAAAAGTATCATGTACATGCAATCATATTGTCAAGTCCACATAGAATATATTTCTGGTTGTATTCTGTCATGATGCTCTTTCTTTCCATTAAGTTAATCTACATCCTTTCTCCCTTGGAAAACATTCCTCTCCATCCCCAAGTATAACCTCAATAAATTTCATCATTTTAGCAAATATGAGTTATGTATGCTGCTTTAAAATAAATTAATTGAGTTATGTACCAAGACATCTTCTAATGTCAATAATAACTAACATTCATTGAGCACTTTTTATGTATTAGGCTCTTGGCTAGGGCTTTATATGCATTATCCAATTTAACCCTCACAAGTGCGTTGTGAGTTTGTTTTTTCATATTTTATAATTTCTATGATGACTTAACTGAGATTTCAAAAGATTAATTAACTTGGCACATTCCACACATCTAGTAAATGACAGAATCAATATTTACTTGAAGATAGGTCCATTTGACTCAATGTGTCTACCTACTCAGATCTCTCCTGCATAATTAGATGTTTAGTTATCCCCCACCACCCCCTCACCCCATCCCCTGGTAACTTCTACTTTCAGTCTCTATGAATTAATCCATTCTAGATACCCTTTATAAATGAAATCATGCAGTATTTGTCCTTTTGAGTCTGTTTTCACTCACTTAGCATGATGTTCTCCAGGTTCATCTGTGCTGTAGCATGTATCAGAACTTTATTCCCAGCCAGATGTAAAGGAGCACTCCTTGTAATCCCAATAACTCAGGAGGCTGAGGGGTGGAGGATCACAAGTTGAAACCCAGCCTCAGCAACTCAGTGAGGTCCTAAGCAACTTAGCAAAACCCTGCTTCAAAATAAGAAATAAAAAGGGCTGAGGATGTAGCTCAGTGGTTACATGCCCCTGGGTTCAATACCTGGTACCTAAATAAATAAATAATTTTATTCTTTTTAACATGTCTCATGTTTATGGATTCAGATGATTAATATTATTAAAATGTCCATACTATCCAAAGCAATCTATAGATTCAATGCATTCCTCTTTCAAATACCAATGACATTCTTCACAGAATTAGAAAAAAACAATCCCCAAATTTACATGGAAACATAAAAAACCCTGAATATCCAAAGCAATCTTGAGCAAAATCAGCAAAGCTGAAAGCATCACAATATCTGATTTTAAGACATACTACAGATCTATAGTAACTAAAACAGCATGGTATTGGTGTAAAAACAGATACATAGGCCAGGGGTACATAATAGACTACTCAGAAATAAATCCATGCATCTTCAGCCAGCTGATTGAGAGGTTGTTAATAAAGTTTGAGGAGTTTTATTTTAATTGTTTTAATACTTTTTTTAATGTTCAGAATGTTTAGGGGAATATAACTTTTTTTAACTGAGAATTGAAACTTATCACTGAGGTACAGCCCCAGTTTTTAAAGGTTAGTATAATACAAATTTTAATTTTATTCTAGGGCATTATAGTTATATATAGTTGTAGGGTTCATTTTGATAAAATCATATATACATGGAATTTTTATTAACTCCATTTCAGTTCCCATTCCTTCCACTTTCTCTCCAATTCTCCCTCCCCTATTCTCTGTACTTCCTCTACATTACTGATCTTCCTTTTGTTCATTTGTTTATTTTTTTAACATTTATTTTTTAAAGTAGTTGGACACAATACCTTTATTTTATTTATTTATTTTTATGTGGTGCTGAGGATCAAACTCAGGACCTCGGCCAGACGCACACTCTACTGCTGAGCCACAACCCCAACCCCTGTTCATTTATTTTTTACTTATTTTTATTTCAGCCAACTGATTTTTGACAAAGTTTCCAAAAACATACATTGAAGAAAGGACAGCCTCTTCAACAAATGGTGCTGAGAAAACTGGATATGCACATGTAGAAGATTAAAACTTTACCTCCATCTCACACCCTATACAATAATTGACTCAAGGGCTGGGGTTGTGGCTCAGTGGTAGAACGCTTGCCTAGCATGTGTGAGGCATTGGGTTCTATTCTCAGCCCTGCATATAAATAAATGGGAAAAAAAGGTCCATTGACAACTTAAACAACAACAACAAATTGACTCGAAATGAATCAAAGACCTTAATGTAAGATCTGAATACACTGAAATTACTAGAAGAAAACATAAGGGAAACACTTCAAGACATTAGAACAAGCAATGATTTTCTGATAGGATTCCAGTAGCTCAGGAAGCAAAAGTAATAACTGACAAATGGAATGACATCAAATTAAAAGCTTCTGCATAGCAAATGATTCAACAACGTCAAGAGACAATCTATGAATGGAAGAAAATCTTTGTCAGCTAGTTATAAAAGAGTGGCAAATTTTGTCATGAGATGATAGTGTGTTTTTCTCATTAATTTTATAAAGTGGTATATTACATTGATTTTCATATATTGAAACATTCTTGCATTCCTGGAATAAATTCCTCTAAGCCATGGTGTATTACCCTTTGAATAATTTGCTGAATTCTGTTTTTGAGTATTTTATTAGGGATATTTGCATATTTGCAAGAATATTGGTCTGTACTTTTCTTATAGTGTCTTTGATTTTAGGGTAAGCTGACCTCATAGTGTTTTTTGGAAGAGTTTGAGAAGGACTGGTGTTGAGTTTTTTTAAAAATGCTTGGTAGCATCTCCTTACTAATTGTAAGCCTGTTGTAGAATCTTAAGCAAATTTACTTTAACAATAAGATGCTTGACTTAAAGGAAAGCTAAGTCTTTTTAATTAGGGTAATTTGCCCCTACTTAATGACATATTGCCCTACATACAACAGCTATATACAAAATGTTATAAAATTGTTCTAAGTTTTACAATGACAAATGAAAAAAAAAACTTAAAATTCTCCAAACAAGGTATACAAGGATTTTTGCATGCTTTTATTTTTGTTGTTGTTAAAACAGAGCAAAACAAGTTACTGGAATATAAGAAGCTGAATGAGCCTGCCACTAATGGAGAAATGATAATTTCACAGAACCACTGTTTTTCCCCCATTCCATTTTCATTTGATGTCAATAAAAACATACTATCAGCCAGTTAGTTTAAAAAAATACAATGTGCTTGTGCAAAAACACCAGTTATTTTATGTACATTAAAGGAAGGGGGAAGGAAAAAATGAAAGAATAGAAAACACTATTTTATAGTAATCAGGATGTGGCAGAACCAAATTGCAGTTTCCTAATTGAGAATGTGTTTTTGGTCTGTAGTGGGTTCCCATTTTAGTAGACAACTCCTGTCTGCAGCTGGAATATATTGATTGTATTTTTTTTTTGTACCAGTGATTGAACCCTGAGGTGATTAACCACAGAGCCACATCCCAGCCCTTTTTAATATTTTAATAGAAACAGGGTCTTGCTGAGTTGCTTAGGGCTTCACAAAGTTGCTGAGGCTGGCTTTGAACTTGTGATCCTCCTACCTCAGCCTCCTGAGTCACTGACATTATAGGTGAGTGCTACTGCGCCTGGCTATTGATTGTATCTTAATCTTCCATATCCAACTCTGCAGGTGTGTCTGTTTCATTGATTGGATACTTAACAGATCACAATCTGATGTACCTCATTAACAAATCCTGTTGTTCACATTAAACTTTCCTTAGTTTACTAAGTGATGTATCTTAATCTTTTTGTTTTCTTTTTGCTGTTCTGGGGATTGAATCCAAGGGAACTTTACTGCTGAGATACATCCTC